CTGATAGAGAGTCCTTGTTTGTAAGTAGAAGGCTTGTATTGCTTGCAAATGTAATGGTGTTAGGAAGAAAAAAAAACTGATACCTTCATTTTCAACCAAATGAATAGATCCTATAAGATCGATAAATTCATCTGCTGCAATAGCAGATACGTAGTATATCTGCTTGAGTGCCCTTGTTCCAAACAATATGTGGGAAGAACAACGAGGAGACTTAGGAACCGTCTCCGAGAGCATATTAATAATATTAAGACAGGTTATAAGGAGCACTCTCTGTCCCTTCATTATAGGAAATACCACAATAGGGACCAAACCAGTTTGAAATTCACTGGTATTGATACCGTTATTCCCCATTGGAGAGGGACATTCAAAACTAGAGCTGTCTCTCAATTAGAAAGCAGGCTTATTTATGAATTAGACACTTTCTATCCAGCGGGACTTAACAATGAACTCGATGTCAATTGTTTTATCGACATAGTTGAGCTTTACATTATGCCTTCCTCCCCCCCCCCCCCCCTTTTTATATATTTTTATACACTTTTATATATTTCGGCTATATCCTACGTCATTATGTATTATTTTTTATATATTTTTTTTATGAACATTCGAACCACTTGGTTTTATCCTTTTTATTGTCGGTTCATATTCGTTATTTATTAAGATTTTGGGTTTTTGGAATTTGTTTATATCATATTGTACTTTGCTCCGCCTTTTTACCATGTGGCTGTTTTTACTTTTAATATCCATTTTATTCGGTTTTCTATTTCTATTTTAAATATGTTTTGTTTTATTTTTTGGGCGCATTGTTATTCAATATGTCATTCTTTACCACTCTCTTTTATCAGACATTTCCATTGTCTGATTTATAGTTTTCTTTTGATATGGTTTCACATTACCTTTTGTACACTTTGTACATATGCATTTTACTGGTAATTTGCATTATTTTTAACCCACCTCCTATTTGCATATTACTGTTTATTTCCATTTGCAGTTATGGCCCGGTGTACATATTAGTGCTCTTTTGATTATCAGGCGGCCTTATCATATGGCCTGCTATGGCGTTTTTTATTTCTTACCATCTCCTTTTTGCACCCAATTTGTATCGAGTTATTTATGGTTTTTATTTTTCATCATGGTGATCTTGATGAGAAATTTTCTTCCTTACACTATGCCCATGGTAAAATGGCGTCGCGCAAGTGCACTGATCTATCTAAGCCGCTCCTGACTTTGGCAAAATGGCGCTGATCTAGTGTGCATGTGCCACTTTTGCGCATATATAAGGACGGCGCTTCAGTCATGATGTTCCTTGTCTCTACCTCTGAGGAAGTGCGTGCGCACGAAACGCATCAGGTGGAGCCCAGGACGTCGTGACGTCACGCTGCCGCCGGTGCCACGTGGAGGCCCGACGGCCATATTTGAATCTGTATGGTCAGTCACTTGTTTATCTGATGCTGCTGTGACTTGCTATTTGCTTCTGTGCTCATCGCTTTTATGATAATACATTTTTGCATAAATTACTACACTATGAGTACTTCCCCTACTGACATCTAGCGCTGCATTTTATATTTATGTTGGGCCAACAAATATTGAAAGCCTTAATAGCATTTAACGCTAAGAAGAAGCGATTCATGTGATCTGAAACTGGTACCTGCATATTTAAATAGGCCCTCCTAATATTAATAGCAGTTGACATGTTAGGTATAAATCTGGCCTGATCAGGGTGAATAATGTGCATAATTACCTTTTTCAATCTATTAGCTTGGCAAGTATTTTAAGATCTGTATTCAGAAAAGGAATTGGTCGGTAGAACTCTGGGTATAAGAGGGTCCTCATCAGGGGTGGACTAAAAACTCATGGGGCCCCCAGGCAATAGGGGATCATGGGGCCCCTGTGTCCTTGCCCAAACTCAAAAAAGCCTATGGAAAAGGTACCAGGGGCATCTCATGGGGTCCCCTACTTACCCCGGGCCCTCTGGCAGTGCCCGAGTTTCCAAATGGTCAGTCAGCCCCTGGTCCTCATCTTTCTTAGGTATAACTACTAAGACAGCTTCACCCATAGAATCTGGGAGCTGACCTTCAGAATGAGCCTTGTTAAATGTATTAAGAAGAACTGGAAGCAATAATGTATATGTTTTTTTTAAATCTCCATAGGGAGACCATCAACCCCGGAGCTTTAGCATTGGGGAAACTGGCTGTTGTAGATTCCAATTCGTTTAAAGTATATGGAGCATCAAGTGCAAGTGCTTCCTGATCTACAGATGACAAAACAGGAGAGTTGACAGTAGCAATATATGTGGTCAGCTCAAGCGGTGTATAGTCAGCCTTAGAAGCATATAAATCTTGATAAAAGGACTAAGAAATAGACAAAATTGAGCCTACCTGAGTATAAATCTCCCCCTCCCTGTTCTTCAAAGCCGAGACATGAGTGGGTTTAGACTGGTAACCTACCATTTGCCTCCTCTCAACCACTTCCGAAAAAACTGTTTATTATTGGCCCTATCTTCCAACAGCTCATTGAGCCTTCTCTGGGAAGTCAGCCATTCAAGTCCCATCACCCATCACGGGATGCAGTTTTAATAACACTGGCTTGTTGAACTCATTGGATAAGCAAACCTCAAAGGAAAGCTATAAACACATCCCATACTATCCCTGGGGAAGTAGAACCCACATTGAGGGAAAAACATACCTCAATTGCGGAAGGCAGAGGATCTTCTTTGGGGAACAATTCCATCCAGGAAGGGTTCAATCACCATGGAATATTGAATTCTGGACAGCCAGATATTAAAGTAACTAACAAGAGAGAATGGTCAGATATTCCTCTGGGTTTTATATTGACCTCAATCATAGCTGGAATAAGCTCCATAGAGCATAAAGCCAAACCAATTCTGGACAAAGAGTTATGCAAATTAGAATAGCATATATATATACACTTTAATCAGGATGTAACTGTTTCCATATATATTTTGCAGCCACAGTTCCCTACATAGTGAGGAAAGCCAGAAAAAGCCAGGACAGCCTCTTTTTCTCCAGAAGAGGATCTAGGAGCTGGAGATCTATCCCTCCCCAGATCTTTTACATTATTAAAATCTCCAAGCACTAAGATTGGTACTGAAGGAGAGACCCCCACAAAGGAGACTAGCTGATGCAGCACCTCTGAATTATAAGGGGGCAGTATATACACAGCAGCAAGTATCAATTCAAAATCATATATCTTGCACTGGAGGAAAACATATTTGCCATTTCTGTCCACCAAGGTCCTGCTACACGAGAACAACATGCCCTTATACACCAAAATAGATACGCCCCTTGAGTATGAGGTATACTCATATTCAAGGAGTGATAAGTGCTGTACAGTGCGACTCTGAAAAAATCTAGTAGTATCGCGAGTGGCATGTGTCTCCTATAGACAAACCAAGCATGGTCAAAAAAAGGCAATATACTCGAAAACAGATTGCCTTTTCAAAGCATTACTTAGACCCCTAACATTCCATGAGAAAACACAAATAAATTGATTAACCATAGTCTCAAATAGTCACTAAATGTACCAACTGACCCAGTTAAGACAATAAATATAGCCAAACCAAGACTGGTTCTCCATATAGCAAAAGTAGGAAAAAAAAGAAAAGCAAAAAAAAAAAAAAACAAAAAATACACAACACATAAAAAATGACTCCACACACCACAAATATTCGTAAGTAGTGACCACCTGCTGGTTGAGCTTCCAGCATCTAAATATGTAAAAAAAAAAAGTTTTTAATACACCGTGATAACCAACAGAGAAGAGAGAAGGAGAGAAAAATAAACATCCCAAAGGATTCCTTTCTTTTATTTATCCTCATCAAGGTCATTTGACCCCTCTATAGAGGTAAAGGGATAGAGGAGAACAAAAAAATAAAAAGGAGTGAAAGAAAAAAAAAAAAAAGAAAAAAAAGAGGCTTATAAAATATTCTTTATCTATCTCATCCCACTCCCTCTCCCCTTACAATCTTCCCTCCTCTGCAAAGACAATGGATACTCTCAAGACAATAACCAAAAATAGGCCTCAAGACAACCATCCATTTAAGAATTAAAATGACAATTCATCCAGTCCTGTGCCACCTGTTACGACTCAAAAAATTGGACACAGCCATCATGAACCACCCGGAGCTGAGCAGGATACAGCACAGAACATCTTAGGCCCAGGTGCGGTAGCCAAATTTTAATGTAGATTTTTATTCTCCATAGGGTGCATAGAACCCCTGAATTTCTCCACACCATAGGTCTGAAATCTGATCCAGCTTGTATAAGATGTGGTAATTCTGGTTCTTTCATACATCTTTTGTGGTGGTGCCCTAAACATCAGAGATATTGGGCGGAGGTGGTTGGAACACTTACATATTCCTGTTGAACCACTCACTTGTTTAGTGGGCTATTTAGACTCTTTGTTATATACACTCCCGATGGTGACTACTATTCTGCGGGCACTTTTTCTGGCCCGCAGACAAATTGCCCTTAGGTGGACCTCCCAATATCCGCCTACTTTATCTGACTGGATTTTTTATCTCAACAAGCTTATCTCCTTTGAAAAAATACATTTTTTTAAGAAATTCAATGAGTAAATTTGATGCTATTTGGTCAAAATGGATTAAATATATGTTTCTTGTATGGAAATAGCTTTATTATGTATTTGTTTTTGTTTGTTTCAGATACTGGTGTCGACACTTGGGGAAATACGATTCCCATAGACATTATGGTTCGATTATTAGTTATAGATTAGGTCATTTTATGGCTGTAGCTCTCCATTAATATATTATTATGTTTTAGACCCCATGTACACAGGACCAGGGGCGGACTGACCATTTGGAAACTCGGGCACTGCCCGAGGGCCCGGGGTCAGTAGGGGGCCCCATGAGATGCCCCTGGTACCTTTTTCATAGGCTTTTTTGAGTTTGGGCAAGGACACAGGGGCCCCATGATCCCCTATTGCCTGGGGGCCCCATGAGTTGTCAGTCCGCCCCTGCACAGGACACTTCTGAACGATAGAAACTGACTGCTGGAAAACGTAGATTAAACATGTCTATTTAGCCGCGTTTGCATACTGCGTTTATGAGCGTTTGCGTTTAGAAGCGTTTTTTTTTTTTTAAGATAACCTCAGGAGACCTTCCAGAAAGCACTGAAAAACAGTACTATTTCTGACATTTTGAGAGAAATAGAGAGAGCAGAAGCAGAGAGAGCAGTATTTGTTGAGATTAGCTGTCTTTTTTTTTGTGGTGTTTGGATCTGTTTCAGCTCATTTCTGTGCAGAAATTATTGCAGCAGTATCTAACAGATTTTGTTCCATGCAAAACCTCAAAGTATGGTGTGCCAGGTCCATTTGAGTACCGGAAAAACACTTTGCATGCATTTTTCATGATGAAAAAAGGCTCTGGACAGAATCTGGAATTGGAAGAGTTAAAAAAAAATTTCAAACGCAAACACCTATAAACGCGGTTAGCCCCCTTTAGAAGCATTTTGCGTTTGAAACGCTGATAATATCTGCTGCTGAACGCAAGTTTTCTGCATTCAAAAAAATGACTCTAAACTCAACTGCCTGTAAATGACTGTAAACGATGATGTGTACATGGAACATGGAAACACATAGGAAAACATTAGGGTGAGTTCAGGAGCTGCTGAAAAAAAACTGAACAGCTCCTAAACGTGAGTTTATCAGCTGCAGTGTACATGAGCCCTTAAAGATGTTATGATAGATGGGTGGGATATTTCCTCTCCTTTTTTTTTTGGTCTTGTTTTGTTCTGTTTTTTTTTGGGGGGGGTCCTTTTTTTTTTTCTTTTGTAAAGCCCTGCATGGCGAGTATTAAATGTATGGTTTGTTGGTGTTTGTTTTTTGATGGAAAAGAAAAAAAAATAAATGGGAAAAAAACACTTACTATGGGGCATTTATTGTCCGCTGTCCCTCCTCTCCCCTAAGCCAGTGCTGGGAACTGGTCAGATGACTGTAAGTATAAGCATCTTTCCTTTACAGGGTAGTTAGTTTAAGGCTGGAGGTTGGGGCACATATAGGCTTAGTTACTATAATGGTCTTACTATAATGGTCCTTAAATTGTTTTTACTGTGTTTTTATGTCTTCTTGTAACATCTTCTGTGAGCTACCAAACTTCTCCTTTTTCCTTTATTTTCCATTTGTTTGGAATGAGCAAGGCACCTTAGTTTCAGTCATGTGCACTGCTGAATGCACACTACAAACCTCTTAGTCGATAGTTCATAGTCCCTAGTCCTTCTCGGGAACAAGAAAGAGAAGGTGGCTACATTCCTAAATACAGTGAGACCATGGAGAATGAACGTAGTCACCCTTTAACAGTCAGATGACAGCAGCAAAAAAAGGAACTTGGAGATTTGGAGGAGGCCGAGAGCAATAGTAGGTACTTTTTGAGTTAAGAATACATACCTGAATAGATTTTTTTTAAAACAGAGTTTAATGTCACTTTAATTTCTGCTTTATGTATTCTTCTCTCAGAGCTACACACAGGTGAGGATTCTGTCTATGGGTGCAGCATAGACATTGATCTATGTCTCCTGCATCCAACGGACAAATAAAATGATTTTTCATGACTTACAATACCTCTAGAATTGATTAAGTTGACCTTACCTATATACCTATGCTTAAAAAAATGGGCTTCAAAAGTATTTCAGTCAATACCTAATCATCCTGCTATAAGGTCCACTCTTTGGAAGGAGGTTTGAACATATTTTATGTGTTGGAAACACATTTCCATCAGCATGTCTCCCATAAATGCACATGCAAAGAAAAGAGATGTCCCCCACTCTAAGGAATGAAGGCGCTTCTTCATTGGGAAGAGGGCATTGGGGTACTCATGGATATGGGGTTTCAAGTCTTACACCAAAGGAAATGCTTGGTTTAGCAGTTGAGGCCTGGGTAGAGCTTTAAAGCCTGGGACCCTTTTGCTATGGAGGAAAGACCCTGTGACATCTTTCATAAATTTGTCAAGCGCCTTACCAAAGAGACATCCTCCTTCAAAGGTCATACATGTGATTAAAGGGATTTTAACTATAAGATGCTGAGAAGGTGGACATAATTCAAAGCCATTCTAGAGAGAAGGGAAGGGTCTGATACATGGGCAGCACAGTGGCTAAATGGTTAGCATTTCCGCCTGGCAGTACTAGGGTCATAGGTTCGATTCCCAACCACGGCACCACCTGCCTGGAGTTTGCATGTTCTCCCTGTGCCTGCGTGGGTTTCCTTCGGGTACTCCGGTTTCCTCCCACACTCCAAAGACATGCTGGTACGTGAATTGGCTCCTGTCTAAATTGTCCCTAGTATGTGTATGTATGAATTTGAGTTAGGGACCTTAGATTGTACGCCCCTTGAGGGTTAGGGACTGATGTGAATGTACAATATATATATATATATATATATGTGAAGTGCTGCGTAAATGGACGGTGCTATATAAGTACCTGAAATATAGTGTTTCAGTCTCTCATATCTTGCTAGCTGAAGTAGCCATTTGTTCCCCATTAGCTTTCTTAAAGTGGAGTTCCACTCACCCTGTCAAAAAATAAAAGTTAGCAGCTACAAAAACTGTAGCTGCTGACTTTTAAAAAACAGCCACTTACCTGTCCCTCGGTGTGTCCCCCGCAGCCCTTTTCACCAGCCGTCCTGTATTCCAGGAGGCCGGCATCTTCAGTGTGGGCACTCGGAATGGTCCTGTAGTCTTCTGGGACCTGTCGCGTGTCCCAAAAGACTACAGGGAGGAAGGACACCTTCCGCTTCCAATCGCCTAAGCGATTGGAATAGAAGTGGGAGCGGATACCTGTGAAATTCGGGTACCCACTCCCTCCCTGCCCCCCAAAGGTGCCAATCCTTAATGGGGAGCTGGGGAACAGTCCTTAAAGTGGAACTTTCCCTTTTGGGTGGAGCTCTGCTTTAAGGGCTGCAACTCCAGTCATATAACCATGTTGCATTACAGCCTTAAAGGTGTCCCAATTTGTCAGGCTGGAAACACCCTGGGCATTTTCTAGCTAGATTCCAAATGTCAGGAATAGTCCCTGAGCCCAGGGTGCTTCCAGTGCCACACTTCTACCAAATTGTAGGTGTCCGCCCATTCCTTCAAAAGGAGGGATTGATGTATAGTACTATGCAATCTATCCACAGCTGGGTACATAACAGCATAGAAATCTCCCCCAACAATAGGAGTGTCTTGAACCATAGGGAGAATATGTGTCATGCAGTACGACAAAGTTTGAGCATCAAATGGTGGAGGAACTTAAATGTTCACAATAGTATATAAAACATCCATATATTTCAACACCAAGGCTACATAACATCCTTGTCAAACGGTCCTGAATATTTACAGAATAAGGGTGTTACAAGGAAACAAAGAGACAATAAAGTAGCAGAGAAATAAAAAAGTAAAAAGTTGAAAATTAAGAATACTTGCAAATCCCTTGGTTTTAGCAAAGTCCAATTGATCAAGCACAAATGGTACAGCGTCTCTTTCAAGTCCGTTTAGGTGTTCCTTGGTTGATGTTAAAATGAGAGCTGTCCAAAGGTCCTGACATTCCCTTTTTCAGTGGTATCAAAGGGATGTTGAGAGAGACCATCTGACCAATTATCTAGTTTAAGGGGTGGTGTCTGGGAGGTCACCACATTTATGACAAAGTCCCAAATACGGTATCCTATAAGTATTCATATTTCTAAATACCTACCGTTTACAGTCTGTTAACATACAGATTATTGTCCAGCATGAAATTAGCTTTGAAGTTGGTATAGATATGACAAGTCTCAGATATCTATTTCTCACAAAAAGGATGTGGAGGCCTAATCCATTTTGGTACCTCCTGCATATGTATGTTTGGGTTCAAAATGCTACCCAATAACTGATGAATGTGAATATGTCTATATTCTGGCTGTAATGGAGAGGCCTGTGTGTCCAATCAATGGAATGAAAAGGAAGTCCTGGCACCAGTTAACAGTTGTGTATTGTGCCAGGTGACTTCCTCGGGGATGTAAAAGGCGATCACTGCTGCCACTAGGCCTCTTTGTGTTACAAACTGTCATGGGTGAATTCCAAGCAACATGGCTGACACACACAAAGCTTTGTGAAGGCCCAGTCCTCGTTACCATTGCACCTAGAATCCATCAAATGAGTCTCCTGAAGTAAAAGGATGTGAGCTTTCCTGAGTTTCAGGTGGTCAAGAACCAGGGTCTTTTTAAACTTTGGAATTCAGGCCCCTGATATTCCACGCAATTAATTTAAGACTCATGACAGACTGGAAAGGGGTAATGTTTCAAAAAGGATAATACTCCAAATAAAGTGAGTTAGTGGCAAAACAATGGTTTAGTAATGAAAAAACAAGAGTCTTAGTGAGTACCCAAAATAGTGGACCTGCAGATCCAAATCAGAGGCATATCATACTGTAGGTGTATCTGAAAAGACAAAGGAAAAAATAGAAAAAAAAAACAAGAACATCCTGTTCCCCCCTCCTGCTCATTGCACCAAACTACAACAAGCTTAGACCCTGTAAGAGCAGCACTAACAGGGGACATGGCAGAGCAAATCCCTGAATTAAAAGGAAGATACCCCATGCAAAACTCTTAAAGTCAAGTGAAGACAAACTCCACACTAATGTTTAAGAAAAAGGTTTTGAAAAAAGTAAAGTAAAATTCTCTATGAGCAGTAGCGGCACCATCATAGGATGAATTGCTGGTGTATAAAACAAAAGTCTACCTCCAGCCCAGAAAGTGCATCAGAGTCCTGTCAACTCTTGAAGCAACCATGGAGGACACAAAAATTGCAAAAGAGAACCATCATCTCAAGAAGGGATCATAGAACCAGAAAAAATTGCAGAAGTGTGATCGAAAGAAAGTAGATGGTCATCCCAGACTGTCAAGCCAGTCAGAGGCTTCAGAGGGATACAAGAAGAAATTAGCTTTACCATCAATGATAACTCACAACTTTGCCTGGTAGATCATACTGTAGCTGAATTGTTTATCCCAAAGGCAACATTTGACTGTTGTGAAGGCAGAGTGACCACAGAGAAGTCAGGAAAAATGCATATCTGATCGCCATTATACTTCATTTCAGGGAGATTGCGAGTTGCCTTCAGAATATTTTCTTGATCTCTGAAGTGAAGCA